CTATTTAGTTTGCTCGATTTGTAAACAAAGCTTCTCAGCGGTGAAAAATATACTATTGTGAACAACCTAAACGAGCGAAATTCACAATAGCGCTATTCTTCATCGAATGAGCGCCATAATACCAAATGAAAATTCGTTCGCTCAGCACTTTCGACCACAGTCGAAAATCGAATGCAACTCATAATAGGGGCCACGAATTTCACTTTCTTTCACTTTTGAGCTATGCAAGCGAGTCGAAATTTTCGTTGAGTATCGAACAGAATTTTGCTTTCGTTGGTGTAGCGAAGTGTTAGAAAATTGTGAATTATTTATTATTTTGCATTTGTTTTCCTACTTTTTGGTGGCTAGGCACTAATTTGGAACACTTTTTTATTAATTTCATGCCGTTCTAACGTCGTGAGTACTAAACACAAGCTCGAAAGGCTGGTTTTACTTATGAAAAAAATCACACTACTCCGTTGCCACGATCTCTGAGAACAAAATCATAGAGCTTTTTATAGTTTTAATATATTTTAAATAGATTTGGATCACAAAATTTCTTAAATATATTGTATGTAAAAATATATTCGAAAGATTAAACTTAAACTCTCTTAAACGTTTTATGCTCCTGGCCAGTTTTCTAAGCTCTCCTCCTCTGACGAATTGTTCAACCAGAACTCCGTTGTACTCATTTTTACCACGTTTTTATAAACTCGCTTTCTTTTTTATTTCGTTTTTATTTGCACAAATTTACATAAATATGTATAAGCACACTATTTACTTTGCTGGATTTGTAAACAAAGCTTCTCAGCGGTGAAAAATATACTATTGTGAACAACCTAAACGAGCGAAATTCACAATAGTGCTATTCTTCACCGAATGAGTGCCATAATATCAAATGAAAATTCGTTCGATCAGCACTTTCGACCACAGTCGAAGATCGAATGCAACTCATAATAGGGGCCATAATAAGGGCCACTATTGTGAACAACCTAAACGAGCGAAATTGACAATAGCGCTATTCCTCATCGAATGAGCGACATAATCAGCCCTATTCTGCATTTCGACTCGAATCGAAATTTTCTCCGTTTGGCAACTTTGGTATTCTGCGTTCCGTTTCCTTTCGATCAATCTTCGAAATTTACGATTATACCTATTCTACATTTCGATCGTAGTTCCGTTTTTCTAAGTTGCAAATTTGTTGACGGAGAACGTTTCAATTGTTATTATATACTGTGCATGATTGTAAAAGTCATCATAAATGAATTTTCTCGATTTCTGTGTTTTCGCGAGCGGTAATACGGGCAATACGAAAAATTGGCTCAAATAATGGCAACCAAAAGCGATATTGCGCGACGTTTTGAAAGTGGAAGTCCAGGCGTTATTGTTTACATTATCTATAAATAAGACTGTGAAATGCACTGAATACAATTTATTCTTTTTATATAAAATTAATAGATGTATGCACATAGATACATGCATACATAAAATGTAAAGTTACATAAAAACGATGCTTTTATTATTGCACTCGTTTTTACTACTAACTTTTTAAAACGAGGTGCGTATGTTGCCTCGAACTCGATTTGCTATGGAAAGATAAGCTTTGTTCTTTCCCTGCTCCTGACGGCTTTCAAAATGGGATTCATTTGCGTTCAAATCTCCCACTCTGTAGTAAATGCAAATGTTGTGGAGTGCTCAAACAACGTTTATAATTTCACTGACTTTAAGCGATGAGTAATACAGTTCAAGATGAATTCCTTATGACTGACTCTTCACTCATCTAAAAAAGATCAAACATGTCCCTAAATCTCCGCCTTACAACTTTCGCATCAGCAATCTGGGACTCGTTCTTCTCTTCAAGCAATAACGCCGCGGCTATGGATTTCATTCTTATAATTATGTATCCACATAAATTTTATTTTTAAATTACAGTGATGCTAAGTATATTTAGTTATTTTAAAATATTTACAAACTTTAACTTCATATGCTGCTATAGTTTGGTGGCAAATATTTCTTTGTTTTGTTTCGATTTCACACCTTCCCTAGGCAAACAGCTGATTTTGAAAGATGTTTTCTCTCTTCCTCTTCTTCTTTCGTTTCGATCGTAACGCAGAATACCTAAGTTCGATTCCAGCGGAGCGGAATGCGGGGACGTAATCGAAATGCAGAATAGGGCTGAATACCAAATGAAAGTTCATTCGATCAGCACTTTCGACCACAGTCGACGATCGAATGCAACCCATAATACGGGCCTCTATTCGTCAGAAAATTCGATACTCAACGAAAATTTCGACACGGTGGCATAGCTCATAATACGAATTTCACTTTCGATCTTCGATAACCAGCGAAGATCGAAAATCGAATGCAACTCATAATAAGGGCCTAAAGTCTTTCTATGAGCTGTTCTCCCGAAAGCGGAAACCCTTACAATTGGGACCGTTTCATATAAAAAAAAATTAATTAAGGAAATCATACAGATGGTAAGGCCCTCTACATTCCAGAGTAGGCCTTCTGTAATTGCTTTCTATTTCTTGTTTCTTCTGGGTATACGTACATACATATCGCACCTGAAATGGATAAAGACGAAACAAATATCGTCGATTACTTACAAAAAGTTGTAACTAATAAAAAATCCAAAATTCAGTTCTTGATTGATTGATGGATTTCATCGAATTACAACTCCCACATCATTTTATGAAAAAAAAATAAAAAATATTAGTCAGGACTTTTTCTATTCCATTTCTTGTTACGTTTTTTTTTGCATTTCAGGCGACGATATACTTCTACAAACACGAAAGTTGTCACAGCCTGTCTTTCATTGATTTCGAATCGAAAACACATTGCGATCATATTGGACCAGCAATATAGAAGTATTACATATATGTTCATACCACAATACCTTAAAGCTATATACTTTCCGGAAGGCGTTAATATGCATTGTGATACGAAACCTTGTGACGGATTTCGGGAAAGTAGAGCATTTCGAAGATATTTTTCCAATTTTTTAACAGAAGTTACATTTGGCCATGGCGTCGGCCAATAATTACTCGGCCAAAATTCATTCGGCAAAACCACTGGACAACGACGATAAATTAGTAATACTTGTCGGCCTAATACGCCACACTTGTTCAATGTAAAGTCAACCAATGATCCGTCAGATCTTGCGAAGAAAAGATTGTCAAATAACTGCAGTAATTGGCTCTGGAATTTTATATGATGTGCGTCATCCATGTCGTAGAAATGCTGAAAGTCCAATATGCACACCTCCTCTTTATTGGAAATCAAAAATTGCTTGACTTCTTCCAGCGGCTCAAATGCTTCCATGGCAAAGAGTCCATGAGCGAAAAAGTATTTGTCATTTTTTTGACAGACACGCAAATCAAAATACCGGACACCGAGCCCCAATTGTTCCAAAACGGAGGATGATTGCGTTTTCGCCCAACGTCGCACAAACCAAGGGAAACAAAAGTTTAACCATATAGTAGACTTCTCCGCATCAGGCGCAGGCTTTGCTCCAGATTTTATTCCATACGACATTGAGTCGTGGGAACCTTTGTGAATAATTAAGAACTCAAATTATCATTATTTGATTTCGAATATTCGCTATCTACCGGGTATAGCAAGATTGATGACGGGTAAACTACGCAGTACAATCGGGAGTGATGTCATCCATTGCCCGTTTTTCATTGTTATTGAAGAACTTCTACAAATCAATAAATAGGTTCAAAGATTTTACAATAGGAATGTCGGAACAACATTGACGCATCGAAAATATCGATGTTTTGCTTCGATGCATCGAAATTTTGCCACTCGATATATCGCACACCGCCTTCAAAAAGAGTCACAACTCAAAATAATACGTTCGTCAGAAAATGCGAAAAAGGCACCCTGAAATTGTGCATATGGAAACTGTGCATACGAAATAATGCATATTAAAAAAACCGAAATAATGCATATATGCACAGTTTCGGTTGAAAACCGAAATAATGCATATATGCACAGTTTCGGTTGAAAACCGAAATAATGCATATATGCACAGTTTCGGTTGAAAACCGAAATAATGCATATATGCACAGTTTCGGTTGAAAACCGAAATAATGCATATATGCACAGTTTCGGTTGAAAACCGAAATAATGCATATATGCACAGTTTCGGTTGAAAACCGAAATAATGCATATATGCACAGTTTCGGTTGAAAACCGAAATAATGCATATATGCACAGTTTCGGTTGAAAACCGAAATAATGCATATATGCACAGTTTCGGTTGAAAACCGAAATAATGCATATATGCACAGTTTCGGTTGAAAACCGAAATAATGCATATATGCACAGTTTCGGTTGAAAACCGAAATAATGCATATATGCACAGTTTCGGTTGAAAACCGAAATAATGCATATATGCACAGTTTCGGTTGAAAACCGAAATAATGCATATATGCACAGTTTCGGTTGAAAACCGAAATAATGCATATATGCACAGTTTCGGTTGAAAACCGAAATAATGCATATATGCACAGTTTCGGTTGAAAACCGAAATAATGCATATATGCACAGTTTCGGTTGAAAACCGAAATAATGCATATATGCACAGTTTCGGTTGAAAACCGAAATAATGCATATATGCACAGTTTCGGTTGAAAACCGAAATAATGCATATATGCACAGTTTCGGTTGAAAACCGAAATAATGCATATATGCACAGTTTCGGTTGAAAACCGAAATAATGCATATATGCACAGTTTCGGTTGAAAACCGAAATAATGCATATATGCACAGTTTCGGTTGAAAACCGAAATAATGCATATATGCACAGTTTCGGTTGAAAACCGAAATAATGCATATATGCACAGTTTCGGTTGAAAACCGAAATAATGCATATATGCACAGTTTCGGTTGAAAACCGAAATAATGCATATATGCACAGTTTCGGTTGAAAACCGAAATAATGCATATATGCACAGTTTCGGTTGAAAACCGAAATAATGCATATATGCACAGTTTCGGTTGAAAACCGAAATAATGCATATATGCACAGTTTCGGTTGAAAACCGAAATAATGCATATATGCACAGTTTCGGTTGAAAACCGAAATAATGCATATATGCACAGTTTCGGTTGAAAACCGAAATAATGCATATATGCACAGTTTCGGTTGAAAACCGAAATAATGCATATATGCACAGTTTCGGTTGAAAACCGAAATAATGCATATATGCACAGTTTCGGTTGAAAACCGAAATAATGCATATATGCACAGTTTCGGTTGAAAACCGAAATAATGCATATATGCACAGTTTCGGTTGAAAACCGAAATAATGCATATATGCACAGTTTCGGTTGAAAACCGAAATAATGCATATATGCACAGTTTCGGTTGAAAACCGAAATAATGCATATATGCACAGTTTCGGTTGAAAACCGAAATAATGCATATATGCACAGTTTCGGTTGAAAACCGAAATAATGCATATATGCACAGTTTCGGTTGAAAACCGAAATAATGCATATATGCACAGTTTCGGTTGAAAACCGAAATAATGCATATATGCACAGTTTCGGTTGAAAACCGAAATAATGCATATATGCACAGTTTCGGTTGAAAACCGAAATAATGCATATATGCACAGTTTCGGTTGAAAACCGAAATAATGCATATATGCACAGTTTCGGTTGAAAACCGAAATAATGCATATATGCACAGTTTCGGTTGAAAACCGAAATAATGCATATATGCACAGTTTCGGTTGAAAACCGAAATAATGCATATATGCACAGTTTCGGTTGAAACCGAAATAATGTCTAAATGCACAGTTTCCATATGCGCAATTTCGGTGCCCCTGAGAAAAACTATTTCGTAGCTCAGGCTAATGATATGGGCAAGGGCGACTTTACCTTAGGTTTTTTAACGAATTAAAAAAAAAATTTGCTCCAGCTTTTGCTGAAAGGCAAATAAAAGCTCTGTGTACATTTTTAGTGCGTAATTTCAAAAATGGCAAATTTTGAGTTGTAGCTCTTTTGAAGGCGGTGTGGGATATAAATAGTCGATGTTTATTCTAAACTGACATATCGCACACCGTCTTCTAAATCTGCGTTCAAACACGGAAACTCGAGTTTCTTATTATAGGCGATTTCTGTTTTGGTGTTGCCCTTTGCATTCACACACAGAAACTCTTTTGTACGCAATTGTTGTTGTCAACTGTGAATCGCCAACTTGAATTACTCAGACGAACGAGAGCACAAAGCGTGTTTCCCGAGTACGGGCGACTCGGTACCCGTCCCCTTTCCTCGTCGCTCTCTCCCCTACATGCTTCGAGTTTCCGCAACAAAAGTTTTCGTGTCTGAACGTCGACAAAAGAGTCAACTCAAAATTTGGCATTTTTGAAATTATGCGTTAAAAATGTACACAGAGCTTTTATTTACCTTTCAGAAAAAGCTGGAGGAAATTTTTGTTATAATTCGTTAAAAAACCTAAGGTAAAGTCGCCCTTGCCCATATGATTAGCATGTGCTACGAAATAGTTTTTCGCATTCTCTGACGAACGTATTATTTTGAGTTCTAACTCTTTTGAACACGGTGTGCGATATGTAATATGTACATTTGATTCAATAATAAGGCCAAAAGTATATTCACATATAAATATTATCACAATCAAAGCTCGTTTCTTAATCACCCCGTTTACACAGGCAAATCTCAGATTATTAGCCGTAAATTTTTTTGTGCTTGGTATTCTCACATCTCAAGGAAAGTTTATGTTTCTTCTCTGTGCCACCGTGATCACTTTTTTCTGCTATATAAAGCAATTTAAATACGTTTTAACTTAATATTTTATTAAAACTACCTTTACAAACCTCTATTCCTTGCTAGCGTCCATTTTTGCTTTTACGTTTGGCATTTCGGGAAATGTTTAGTTATTGGCCCATCGTTTTTGGGGTGGTGGGCGGAGGGGGAGGAGGCGTGGCCCCCCAAACCCCCCTCATTCGAAAGGGGACAGTCGCCACTTTACACCTTTCTGCGTAGGCGGCCTCCGGCCGCACTTAGGGATTATAACCCTCACTACGTAGAATTCTCTTCTGTGTTGCCAAAGAAAGGGGGCTGA